ATACACTTGCTATCTAAGCAGTAATTTCATTGTATTAGTCTTCTAATAATCTTGTGGCCTGGTGGCAAGAAGCTGCACTGCAATCTGGAAGGCACACAGTTCAAGGCCACAAGCTGCTCTGCAGGAGAAGGATGGGCAATCTCCTCTCATGTGTTTAAATGCCTCTTAAAATCTGTTGGAGGGTCATCTGTAGGTTAGTTCCATCTCAACAGTACATAACAACAACCCCCCTGTTCCATTTATAGTTTGGGGTTTTTTTTTATCATTTTTTTTGTTTACTTCCTTATTTAGAAAATATTCCCAAACTATTATTACTTAATGCTTTATGCCATTTTGCATGTATGTTTTCTAGCCCTAGTGGCTTAGTGGTGAGAAGTTGCACACTGTCAACCTAAAGGGATGTGGTTCAAATCCACCAACTGCTCTGTGGGAGAATGATGAGCAGTCTTCTCTCATGCAATTCACTGCCTCCGAAAATTCACAGGAGGGTCAGTTATGAGTTTTTTCTAAATCTATGGTAACTAATAACATCAACAGCAATTCAGTCTGTAAAATTATGCATCCTATTCTTGCCTGCATAGTGTATAGGTCTACATTTACTCATTTGTAAAATAATGGAACTGGGCCAGATTTGTAGTGCTCAAACTGTGCTCATATTTAGGATTAACTAATTTCTGCTGGGGGAGGGTGCTGCCCCGTGCATTGCCTAGATTCCAGTAATTCATCTCGGACCCTCCAGTGTGACAATGTCTTAAAAATGTCTTCAGTTATCTCCTAGATGCAAAATCTCCTCCTATTGTGAGCCACCTCTCCAAAACCCTTATCAGAATCTGCTGAGGAATGTGGTAAAAGCGTCAATGTGTCCAGTCTCCGATCTACTTCAGTAAACGGAATCTCTGTGCTTTTTTATTACCTTGCTAACTAAGGTGTGCTTGATCCAGGTCATGGTCTTTGCAATTACTTGCTATGGAGAAGAGCACTGAACATGCCATGAACTGCCAAGAGAACAAACAAATATGTCTTAGAGACAGTGCAGCTGAAGTGCTCTTTGGAGATAGAAATTATGAGGCTTCACCTCACATACCTTGGGAACATTGTTAGGAGAGCCTATTTCTTGGATAGGGACATGATACTCAGGAGGGTAAACAGTCAGTGAAAGAGAGGAAGATCCTCAACCACATGATGACTGCCACAATGGGCTTTTATGTGTCAGGAAGTGTGAGGATGACACAGGATAGGACAGAGTTTAAATCTGTTGTTCATAGGGTCATTATAGGTCATACTCTACTTGACAGCACCTAACAGCATCAATAATATTCAGTCAAAATTGAGGTGCAAATTTAATTCTTCCTCTTAACTCAAGTAGAGGTTGTACTGTAAGGCATTCGGAATGTCTAGAATATTACAAAATCAGTATGATTTTTGTCTCTGTGGTGATGTAAAGTCTTCCTTGAAATTTTTCTAGATATTTCTAGCCAGAAGAAATACTTATAGTACTTCAAATATAACCCAACATATATCACATTCTCTCTCAAATTCTCTCTCATTGGCACCAAATGGGAAGCTACTCACAACTGATCTTCCAGCATGTTTTAGGACACTGTAAATTTATCATTTTATGACACTGTAAATTTGCCCATTTTTCCTCCATGGTATTGTCAGGGGACTTGACCAGTCAGAGAGGTGAGGTCTTTGGTTTAGCAGCACAACTCCCTGTGGATATGTCACTAGAAACTGGCTCTCTCCATGTTTGCCATTATGTTTCTAAGGTTTTCTCCTCATTTAACACTATGAGTTCCCTAAAGACAATCCCAGAACACTTAATGATGCTTATATGAAACTTAGATCAAGAAGCTGTTCTCTGAACAGAGCAAGGTTTAGAATCACAAAAGGTATATGTCAGGTGTGTATCCTTTCTCTGTGTTTGTCTAATGTGTCCTGAACAAATCACTTGAGAAACTGGATTCTGTGAAGAAGAATGTAGTAACAGGATTTGGAGGAAGATTCATTAACAACTTGTATTATGCAGATAACACAACGTTACTTACTGAAATTGAAAAATATTTGAAGCACCTTGCTGCAGAAGATCAAAGACTATCATGTTCAATATAGATTGCATCTCGATATCAGGAAAACAAAATATTTGCCCATTGGACTTACAAGCAGCATCATGACATATGGAGAAAAAAATTGAAGTTGTTAGTGATTTCATCTTACTTGGATCCACAATCAACACCCATAGTACCAGCAATCGGAAGATGTATTACATTGTGCAAGTCTGCTATTAAGAACCTCTCCAAAATATTGAGAAACAATAATGCCATTTTGAAGACTAAAGTGCACCTGATTCAGACTGTGGTCTTTTCAATAATCTGCTATGGCTTTGAAAATTGGGCAATAAAGATGACAAAATTGATGCATTTGATCTGTGTTATCAGATAGGATTACTGAATATCTCATGGACTGCCACAAAGAACAAGTAGAAATACCTTGGAGAAAGTGCAGCCAGAATACTTCTTGGAGGCAAAGGGGACAAAGCTTCTTTTCACATATTTTAGGCATGTTGCTAGGAGAGGTCATTCCATGCAGAAGGACATCATATTTGGAAAGGTGGAGGTCAGAAAAAGAGAAGAAGATCCCTCGATGAGAAGGATTGACACAGTCACTGAAGCAATGGGCTCAAATGTGTCAGAGAAGATAAGGATGGCACAGGATAGGATAAATTTCAGATACATTGTATATTGGGATGCTATGAATTGTACTTGACAGGATCTACTAACAACAAAGACAAAGACCCTACTTAATCAATTTCCTCTTCTTCACGAAGTACTGACTGTGACTGCATGCCTCTAATGATGTTAAACATATTTGCGCTAATGCCATAAAATTTTGAGATAGCATATAACACAACTTCCTGACATTTTGACCACAATCTTGAAGCAGTATTTCCTATGTTAATGTGCTTAAAAATCTTCCACTAGTGGATTGGTAACTCTGGACTCAAGATTCTTCATCTGAAAAGAGCTATTCCCTGGAGGATGATCTAAGTACCAAATCTGGAATACTGAATGTCCAAGACCTAAGCTTTGAGCTGGATTTACCCCCTCCCCCATCAGTAGGATGAGCCAAATGAGTGAGCTTTGGTGGAGAAAATAATAAAACCCTGATCCTTTTGTAGCCCTTAGAGTTATACATAAAGTCAGGGCTGTTTGGGACCAAAGTGGCCAAATTCAACAATAAGAGTGAAGAAATTAGCATGAAACACTGGCAGACTCCTTAATATAGTAATGATTTCATACAAAAGCCCTCTTTGGGAGATTCCTGTCAACTAGGCCGTTCACGTGTTTTTTTCTTATTGCATTTCTTTCCTGCTCAGCACATCAGTAGTCAGAGAGACTGGTGGGATCCCCACGGCATCAGACGACCACAGGAATGCCTGCAGGAGGCAGACCCGAGTCAAGAGTCTAGAGCCTAAATTCCCAGGCATTTCTGTGAGAGCAGGGAGTAAGAAGAAAGGAAGGGGGGGCATACCTTGGCTCAGTAGGTATTTTATTAAGGAGGAGAAGCACGGGAATCAGAGGAACAGGAAAGCTTTTAGCTAGTCCCTTGGAGTCTGGCAACATTTCTGTCAGCTTTCTCATTCCTAGACTGATGCTTATTTCCTAAGACCTGGGGATATTGGATTCATTAAACAGCCTCTTTGTTCAACTCTCACAATAAGAATTTGTAACTGAAAACCATTTGACGTTTTGTAACATTTGGCAGGTACAGGAGATGAAGAGTCTGAGCCTCAGTTTTGCAAGGAGACACACATGGGAAAGCAGCCAGGGCAGAAGAAAAGTACTGATGCTTCTTGCTCGAGCCAGCTGTCCAGGTCTTGTAAAAGGTAGACTATCTAATGTGTTGGGAAGCAGTCCTTTACATTCTTTGGTCCTCTACACTAATGTTCCATGCCTGCCCCTGCCCCTGCTCCTGCCCCAATACAGGACATAATTCGCTCACTTCCTTTTGAGTCAGAAACTGACTGGTAGCGTACTTTGCGTGTTCTCTGTGGGACTTGACTCTCAGGCAGCTTTTCAAAGACAGTTAATTGCACTGGAGAAGAGTGCCCGTCCTTTTTCTGAGGATGAAGCTGGTGGATTCGAACTGCGTGCCTTTGGGATTGCAGCGCAAGTGGCTATTTACTATCCATTCCGAGGCACGCAGTTCAAATCAACCCATTGATCCTCTGGAAAGATGGCTGGATCCTGGGCCTTAAAAACCCTTTACTCTGTTCTGTACCAGCTGTATGGTCAGTTTACTACACCTAGTGTTTTACTGCCTCTAAAAACCTGCTGCAGGGTCAGCTATGAGTCAATTTCAATCTGAATCATTTATAACATTAAGCAAGATCGAGTTCTTTAGCCATTTCTCAGCTGTATAAACTTCGTACATCACTTTTCTTCTCACAAATCTGTAGGTGGACCAGTAGGCTCAATGGTGCTTTCCTCATTGCCTGAGATGAAACTTCAGGCAGCCTATGAGAGTGAGAGAACTGTGAGGTCATGTGCAAGCTCCAGAAAATGATTGGCGCCCTAACTTTACTACTCTGGCTTTTCTTCCATCTCTAATAAGAGAGCAAGAGTGTCCACTTCTGCAGCCTAGAAGGGACCCCACGTGCGCAGCTCCTCATCCAGCGGGGCCTCACGCGGCGGCGCTCGCTCCCGCGCTGGCGCTCCAGTCCATGGCCCTGGCTGTTCCGAGCCTGCAGGGCGCGCAGAGAGCCGGCTCGCTGAGGCTTGGCAGCAGGAGGAGCGTGCGAGCTGTGGGCGTCCCTTTAAAAGCAGTGGCTGGGGCAGGGCCTAGCCATTCAGTCCTTGAAAAGCCGGCGGTCACCTGGGGCTCTCGGAACCGGCCCTTTGCTGTGGGGTCCTCGCAATCCTGAGAGGGTAATAAGAAACGTGAAACACCCCGCAACTATCTCTAGAGTGTGGCCACCTCGCGCTTCCTTACGGCGGAGGATGCGGGAGCGCATCTGGGTGTCGCCGTCGCTGCTGCTGCTGCTGTTGCTCCTGCCACTGCTGTGGGGTAGCCCGCCGGACAGTTCGAGCCCGGAGCTGGAACCTGTTCCCGGGCCTCTGCAACCCTACGACCTGCTCTACGCCAGTGGCGTGGCCGCCTACTACACCGGGGACTACGCGAGCGCCGTGCGTGATTTGGAAGCAGCGCTGCGCAGCCACCGGCGCCTGCGGGAAATACACTCGCGTTGCTCCCGCCACTGCTCCGCGCGCCGCCCGCTTGCGCCACCCGGCGCCGGCCCCGGGGCCGAGCTGCCCTTTTTCCGCGCGGTGCTGGAAAGGGCTCGTTGTTACCGAAGCTGTGAGACTCAGCGCCTTGGGGGGCCGGTGTCCCGTCACCACGTGAGCGAAGACGTGCGCAGTGACTTCCAGCGCAGAGTGCCTTACAACTACCTGCAGCGGGCCTACATCAAGGTACTCAGAAGCGTGCGCTTTCCCACAGCTGATTCTCCTGGAGGGTCTGGAATGCGCGCTGGAGGCTTCCCCGCTGTTTCTGGCTCTCTTTTAAAATTATTTTTAAAATTTTATTTTCTATTGGCTTATTTACAAAGTTCGTATATATTGTTGCCGCTGTCCTTCAGACTTTGAGATTTGGTTTCCTTAATACCTTTCTTTATTGTGCTTGTGAATATAGCAATATTGGTGGTTCCTGCCCCGTTCCTAGCGGAATTTGAGCAAGTAATTTTCTTTCTCTCAGGATCCATTTCTTTCTCAATCTGAAGTCGATACTGATAAACTGATGTTTAGAGTACCCATTTAGCACTCAATTCTGAGATTTTGGTACAACAGGGTCTAATGCAAGGTTTCTCTGTTCATGTCTTAGTTTGACTGCACCTCGATTTCTCTTTTGTCTGAACTCCCTTACCCCTTTTACACTCTAGTCTACACCTTTCCTCTAAAGTTTAAAACAGCAGAGTTATAACTAAAGAAAAGAGATCAAAAGAGAAGAAAAGGAGCAATTGGAAGGGATGCATCTGTATGAGGCGCTCTCACTTAAACGGATTCACCAAAGTGCTGCCTTTAATCTTTTGGTAAAGGGGCTTCTAGATTCAGTAGGTGGGCATTATTCACCTTCAAGTCACTCAGAATACTGAGAGGGCTGCATTAGTGACCCAGTATTTCCTTGTTCGTGTGTGCGTGCGTCAGTGTGTATGTCTGTGTTCAACTTGCCTGAAGCTTTCATCAGTGGGAGTATATACTGACAGGTTTCCTCACATCCACATTTTTGAAGACATTTCTGGATGCTTCTGCAAAGAGTTACTAGCCTTAATACCGGGACCTTCCCCTTCCTCAGAACGCTCAAAGTTGCAAGTGCTGCATTTATATATTTAAACATACTCCTCTCCTGCTGATTTCCTATGCCAGTATATCAGCATTTCTTCTACAGCTCTTGGAAAGAGGTCACAGCCCCCAGGGCTGGTTGGTCAGTCATGCTTCCAGTGGACCACGCTTATGTCTCTGAAGCAGAACAAATGCACACCATGTGCAGATATCCAAAGACCAGTCACTGTTCAATCTACACTGTCTGCCCTTACAGGTGACAGAGCTGCCTTGGGATTTGCAGCTGTCTGTGGAGGTCATGAAATCACAACTGTGACTAACTCTTAAGGCCTGGGGGTATGGTCAAGGTCCTAGAGTTTGTAGACTGGTGATGTCTTAGACAGGAAATAAAGAGAACACCTGAGTCATTTGCAGAACTTGTCTGACATTGCTTTGTGGCTCATGATGGATTTGCCAGGGCATGCATCAAGTATAAATATGATAGCATTTAAATGATTGACACAGTTTTTAGTTGTGTTAAGGAAATCAGTAACTATTAATCAGAGAGCAGACCTTGAGTGTTTGACGGAGGGTATTATCAGCCACTGCCTAGACTAGAACAAGGCTGGGAGAGTTTGGCCTCTGTAACACTTACCAGTTGTATAATATGTGGTATTGCCAAGGGATCTGTCACATTCAGAAACATTTTTGGTTTTTTAGGTCCAGAAAGGGAATCCATATTTATGAGTGACATCCACTTCCATAAATAGCTTGCCTCGGGAAATCCTATGAACATGGAGAAAGGATGAAAGCCACGCAGCTGTCGAGGACTTTGATTCATCAGGTCGCTATGAGTCACCTACAACTCGACGGCACTTAACAACAACAAAAAATTCTATAAAAACTATCATGTGTTCTTTGATTCTGTAATGAATCTGATAATTGTTGATGTTAAATTGCTCACTCATTCTCCAGCTAGTTTTTTTCAGGTTAGAAGTCAAAAGAAATGAAGTTGTGATGCCACAGGTCTAACATGCCTTACATTTTTTCAGTAAATTGATAACAGAAACAAGTAATGAGTATACATCTCCATGATACTTTGTTGTAATATAATTAGCCAATAAGGTTAACACAATTTTTTTTTTTTTTTTAAAAACTGCCTTAGCTGCTTTCAGATGTGCCGATTTCAGGTGGGTCTGAAAACAGCAAAAATCTTACTTTTCTGACTTCACCTCTATTTCTTACAGGCAAAAATTCTTGCATTTTGTGATTCATTGTCTCTTAGGGAAGAAACAGTTTCACCCATTTTACACTCATTTTTGATAGTGGCGCTTGCAATAGTGTCTTTGTAAGCACAATAGTGCCTTTGATACAGTGCATCATGTTTTCCAGGTCTCCCTTACACTTGAGAGTTTTAACATTTGTTTAGCTTCCTGGGAATGCAAAACACACATGCACGCACAGAGATATGGATGCTAACATGTTCATTCCTAATGATAAAATCTGTGAGTGCTCTTGCATGCACCTGGATATGATTATTCCCTGTATTGTTGAGTTAGTTATAACTTCAGTGCCCAATTTGTGCCTTAAAAGGATAATACTGGGTCACATTGAATTCACCAAAAACTTTGGAGACAGATTTTGAGACTTGTCTGTCAACTGGAAATTATACTTCAACTGGAAGGTCACGTAGAGATGATAAAACAGTAGTGAGTCTCTGTTATGGTACTTTAAAACTACAGAAGCCCTCACACTGCCATTCCCAAAGATCTCAGAGCTACCACTCTGGAAGGAGATCCTGTTGGGTGCTGGTGAACGGGGGAGAAAGAATGAGAATTATAAACTCAGACTTGTCAAGTTCCATTTCTCATTTCAATGCTGAGGAAAGGAGCTCACACACTGTTGATTGCACTTTGCGGCAGAGCTAACATGATTTTCTGGAATGAGCACAGGCCTGGCATCCAGGCATCTGAGCTCAACCATAATTGAGGCACCTGCTTGTGTTGTGTCCCCTGCCCCTGGTGGCTTCAGGCCCCAGGGAAGGCAGGAGTCTCTGGGGCTGTGCTCTTGCTCAGATTTGGACAGCTCCAGAAATGAATAGGTCCTTTTTCTATGGGTTAGCCGACACTTACTGCACTTATCCTAATGCCTGATCAGTAGAAAATCCACTTCAAGACCTGACATGTTGGAAATCTGACTGAACCGCTTTGAGACAGTGGTTCCACCTGGCTCCTGTTTCCACTGTGCTATTTAAAGCCAGGACACAACTCTTCAACCTTTTTGTTTGTATCATTTAAGTTGTAAAAGGTAACTCTGGATTCATAGCCTAAAATCTAAAAATCTCATTTCATGATTTCTGCTCAGAAATTTTCAGTGGTATCTCCAAGTCAAGTCTCATTTAATCCAGCTTCCTTCACAGACTATTTGAGCTTTAGCCTTCCCGGTCCCATCTTCTCTCTGTTAGCCTCCAGCCAAAGGGAATAATCAGTTCTTGATCAAGTTGTGTCTGACGCTTTTCTGATGTTGTCTCTTCTTTTGGACCAAACATAAAATGAGATATTTCTGGGATGACATTTTTTTTATTCCTTCAAGTTTCTAGCAGTGTGTCTGGGAGCAAATTCCTATACTTTCGGAGTTTTAGTTTTTCTATTTAAAAAGAGAATGAAAATAGGAAATGCCCAGTTGAGTTAGAGGAGGTTTAAGAGAGCAAACCCTGGTGGTGGAATGGCTTAGTGTTCAGCTGCTAGCAAAATTGCCTGTTAAGAGTTGCGCCACCATCCCAAGGTGCCACCTCTCTGGCAGTTCACATGCACCCAGTGGCTCTGCGGAATACATATGGGCAGTTTCATTCTTTCTGGGTGATTTTAAGCCTCAGAAACTCAGTAGAGTGTCAGCTATGAGTTGGTTCAGACTTGGTGGAAACAGGCTTTAAGTGAAAACGGCTATGTGAGAGAAAGATACAATAGTCAACTTCTGTGAAGATTACAGCCTTAGCAACCTTATGAGACAATTCTGCTCTGCCTTACAGGACGGTTGATGGCAACCAAACTTGATGGCAATGGTTTTGCTTTATTTATTTAACTAGAAGAGCTGATAAATTTAGGGTAAAGTGCCTGAGAGAAGACTTAGTTGTCAGAAAGTACTGAAAACATAATTCTTATTATTAGTTTACTTGTTCCTTTTTCTCATTCCTCCTTCCCTGCCTGTACAAATCATGCTGTTTTCGTCGTCGTTGTTGTTATTGTTAGTTTCCATCCAGTTGACTTCAACTCACAGCAACAGTCTGTACAACATCTCTGAATCTTGCCCTATCCTGCACTAACCTCTCTGATATGCTCAAGCGCATCATTGCTAAACGACTATGTCAGTCCATTTTGTTGAAGGTCTTCCTCTCTTTCTTTGACCCTCCTCTTTCCCCAGAATGATGGATTTTTCCAAAGATTGACCCCTCCTTATGATATGCCCAACATATGTGAGTTGACGTCTCACTGTCCTTGCCTTTAAGGAGCACACTGGTGGCACACGTTCCAAGAAAGTGTTGCTTGGTTTTTGTCATTCAGTGGGACGCTCAGTACTCTGCTCCAGCACCACAAGACAAAGAGACTTCAATTCTTCTTCTATCATCCTTACTCTTTGTTCAGATTTCAGATACATAGAAAGTTATCAATAATGTCCTAGCTTGGATCAGGTGCAGTTCAGTTTCTAAGCTGACACTGTTGGATGCTCCTTAGCCTTTTGGAGAGATCCTTGACAGCTGACTTTCCCAGTGCTACCTCTCTTTAGATTTCTTGAAAGTTGCTCCCATGGGTATTATTTGTGGATCCAGGTAAAGTGAAGTTCCTAACAACTTCAGACTTTTCTCCATCTATCATGATGCCTTTGAGTTGTGGTGCTGGAGAATTGTGGTACTGAACATATCATGTACTTCCAAGACAGAAACAAGTCTATCCTGGAGAGGGTAAAACCACACTGCTCTTTGGAGGCTAGGATTTTAAAGCTCTGTCTCACACATTTTGGGCATGTGGTCAGGGGGGACCAGTCCTTGAGGAAGGACATCATACTTGGAAAGTTGGAGGGACAGCTCAAGAGAGGAAGAGGCTACATATTGAGACAGATGACTGGGGTAATAGGGATAGGTGTGTCAGAGACAGTGA